GCCCTTCTGTTTATCTTCACAAGCATTTTATTTAAGTACAAACGGTAGGAAAGTGAATTTCTTTTTAATTACGAAACTGTGATTGCACCCGCACTTTGCGCCCTCGGCTTTCACAATGTTAATGGAGCAACCATTTTCTCTTAGGTTACATGCTACAGGTTTCAACTCACTTGGTTCTCAACCAAACTCACCAATCTAACAGAAACAGTCGTGTTTATGGCCAGTTTTTAATCAAACCTAAGAAAATACTTCCCCCATTAATGATCTTGTTCCTACATGTTAGTTTACTCTACAACTCATACAACAGACATATTTCCAGCTCTTTATCATGTGCCATCAGCCCACTTCCCAGCCAAAACACGGACTTAACTGGTTATCAGTCCCTCACACTGGTCCCCACCTTCAACCTCCTTCTTTCACATGTAGTCTGGGTTCATGAGGGTTTAATGGGGGTCCTCGTAAGCATTGGTCACAGAATACTACCTTTAACTCTTTAGTACTGCAGAGTGACCTTTTACTAAATTAACAGCAGCTATAGAATAAGCAGAAATACCTTTGAAGGATTTTCTGTGCCTCCTCTTTGCTGATGTCCAGTCCCAGATCAGCAAGCGACTGTTGTATCTCCATAACGTCTACTCGACCTGTTGAAAAAACACAGTAGTCCTGGCATTTCTCACATGCTGAGGGACATAAATCTCCTTCCTACACATGTAAAATTCACAGTATTTCCTTCTACTTTTTAGGTAAATTCTCAACATCAATTTCACTCCTACAGTTAAACCCATAAATGAATTTTGCAGGGTAAGATAAAAACACCATACCATCGTTGTTTTTGTCCAAACTCTTGAAGGTGAGCCGTAACTTCTTCTCATGTTCCTTCAGATACTTGGTGAACTCGCTGAAGTCGAGCCCGTCATCCTTGTCCTGGTCTCCAGAGGAAACTATTTTCTAAAAGAAAACACACAATATTGTGTCAGTGTCAGAGTATCAGAGTCATACAGCAGCTGCTTCATTCTGCCAGCTGGAATGAAGCCGAGAAATGCCTCTCTACTTTATCAGAACTGACTTCCTGTAGTGTGTACAGACCTTTAATTGGTCTAATTATCTGTCATCATGGTCTATGCTTTACTTCAATATTATATTTCCTGCTTGGCTTTTAAATCTGAATTTGACCACTTTTTATTCATTTTTAAAGGGCAATGTAAATAAAAAACGATCCTTGTTTGTAGAGGGATTGCCCTGGATCAAGAGAGACCTGAATTATTGTGTTAAATGAGGACACCAGCCTAATGAATTAGGCTGGTTAATGAGCAGCTAGTGTGCATGTTTATTACCTCTTTATCATATTATTATCACATAATTGCAGGGATACATGAACATAACATTCCTGAGCGGGCTTTACCTCTATAAATCCTTATCCTTTGTTGTCCTTTTTCTTACCTGTTATATTTATTCCTGTATAAGTATATTGAACACAATGATAACCAGAGTCAGTGTCCTTGCATGTGTGCACATACTTGACCAATAAAGCTGATTCTGGTTCTGATAAAGCTATTGTTTTGCAACCCCTGGTCAGAGGCAGCAGCGGCCTCTCCTTACCTTGATCCTGACTCATACTTTAGGTTAAGTTAACAGTTTCACTGATGAGCGTGAGGAATGTGAGATTATTTAATCAGCAAAGGTGGGACCTTCCTTTAAAAGTCACTGCCCACAATAAAAGCTCACCCACACCTACGGTTTGAACTTTGAGACAGTTTCAGAAATTCTGGTGCACCCCTCCTTCACCCACCCTGCTCTTTATCTGCCTGAGACTTAGTTAGAGAATTTGTCGAGATGCCAGATTGTTCAGATAAATGCTCCAGGGGATTTGTCACTATTAAGGAAAAGTTGTGAGAAAATCAGAGGAAATGAGACTCAAATTTAGGTTCTGAAACTCTCTTGTGATTGGTTCAACATGTGTATCTGAATATCAGTGTGCAAGAAACTGAAGGCCCTAGTTGTTGGGTTTTTTGTTGTTCTTTGTCTCCTTTGCTTTATTTTCATGTAAATAAAAGAAAAATACTTTTGAACCATCAAGACAAAAGATGTGCATAAGAGTCCTCAGGACATTTTCTGGGGGTCCTCATCTAATCGAGGGGATTGTTTTAGATTTAGGACTAGAGTTAGACACCTGGAACAACCGCCATCTGTCTTGCTCCAGGGCACCTCCCTCATGTCCAACGATGGACATGAGGGAGCTTTCATCTCCCTGCAGTCAAAAATGTTACTGCATCAGTGAAAAAGAGTGAAAAGTGAGCTTTAATAAAGATAACGTGCTAAAACTCACAGTGAAAATCATGTGATATCATCAAAAGCTTCAGAAAAGCTACTAAATGGATCTCGTGGTGAGACAGATTTCTCAACTACTGGACAATTACTGGACACAGGCCAAATGGACAGTAGGTTGGATTGAAACTATTGAACTATTGCTGTGAAATAAACGTAGAATAAAGTGCAAAGTCTAGTAAAGTAGGCCTGAAGTGATGGGTTAATGACATTTACTCCTGATCAATGTATCATTAAACTCATTTATCAGGCAAAAATCACAAATATTTACTGGTTCAAACTTCCTAAATGTTAGATTTGCTGCTTTTTTCACTTTTAAATCATCATAAATTGAATATCTGAAGGTTATTGACTGCTGGTTGAATAAAACATGACTTCTGAAGATGACATTCTGGGGAGCTGGGTGACTGTGATGAGCCTGATATTTTATAGACTATATTATATTATTTTATTGTCATTTAAAACACAATACTGAAAGTAATTTTTGCTGCAGGCTGTAAGTAAAGCAAACAATAAAGTATAATGCATCTTAAAACTGTTCTTGGGGGCAAAAGCTGAGCAAATCTACTTAGTTACTCCCTCTGAGGCCTGCAACTCAAGAGTTAGGGTTACTTTGAGTCAAAACCTGCCCAGCTCCTTTAGGAATGCAGTACTACACACAGTGTTTGTGACTACTGTCTCTCAGGCATGTATGAGTGCTGTTCACCGTTTCCATGACTCTACCTGAGCGGCTCCTTTCCCAGTTTTGATGCCCATAGCGGCCAGGCCTGCCTTCAGCTCGGACACATCCACCTTTCCATCCTTGTTGGTGTCCAGCTTGGCGAACAGATCCTCGTAGGTTTCCGACGCATCTTCAGCGCACCGGCAGTCCGTAAAAAACAGCTTCCTTACGACTTGGTACATGGCTGGGCTGAGAAATGAAAAACTCTCGGCCTGCAGATCTCCACGCAGACACAAACTGGGCAATTACGCACAATCACACACACACACACACAACCCGATTCCTGTGGCTGTGGCTGGCACTTCTGGTTTGAAGCAGTAGGATACAGTCCCGAGTGATTTCAAAGAGATTTCCGCAGTGCAGCTTGGAAAAGAAGCCGTAGGGAAGTCCTCATGAGTCGGTGCAGCATATAATCCGTATATATATGTGTGTGTATATATTGATACAGATGTAAGGAAAGCTGTTGGCGGATCGGATGAGGTAGGTTGGCAGCGTTGAGCAGAAGGGAGGGGTGAGTCGGCTCAGTCAACAGACCTCCTGTTTTACTGCACACACACACACACACACACACACATTACAGAGACACTCCCTTCAGCCAGAACACTCACTAAGTTTTATTATTACAGCCATATTTCCATATGTGAGCCGAGAAAGCCGCTGTGCTCTCTCCTTTAGTTTCCTTTCTTACGCATTTTCCCCACCAACTCCAACTTTATGCTTTTTTAAACTTAAGTTAGTGTCTTTTGTTGTGGGTTTGTGGCGTAACACCCCCCCATATACGCACAGAAATACGCACATTCATACACAGAGTACAGATATAGTGCTTGCTCCCATTGTGGGCTCCACAGTCGGTGTAGGCCGTCTGATTCAGATCAGTGAGTCATACCCAGAGGAATCCGACAACTGGTCCAAGAAAAACGTCCCCCAAAACTTGTTTTTTTAATTAAGGGTTCATTGGTTTGAAGTAGGCATAAAGTTTAGGTGGAAATCTGAAGAACTGCACGTCTGATTAACTTAAATATTTTGGTTTTCCATCTATGCTCTTTATAAACTCATGTTGTGCACCATTTAACTTTGTGAAAAAAGTTCCTAATGTTTCCTAAAATACCAACTAGGCCAAGTTTAAACAGTAGAAGAATCGCCTTTAACTAAACATACTTATTAATCATATAGGTTTATGCACATGTTGAACATTTCACTCAGTGAGAACAATATGAGATCTAATGAAGCTGTGACAAATAGGTAAAAACAATATGATTGGGGATTTCTTTGTACATATAAATAAATAAAATGAAAATATTAAAATAAGTCTTGAGAGTTGTCATAGCAGTGCCGAGGTTTTACCACGAGGTGGCGACAGATGTTACATAACAGCAGCTGGTTTCACTCTGTTGTTGTAATCTGTCCAATCAGAGCTGCTGTTGCTCTCACTGACCGCCAGGAGGCGACGGAGAGAGGAGGCGGGCTTCTTGAGCTCCCATCAAGCTCTCTGCTGTCAGTACAGTGCATCCGGTTAATGCATACATACTTCAAAATAAAAGCAGAGACATACACACCCCTGGAAACATTGTATGTGTTCTTCAACTTCTGGTGGTGGAAGAAATATTTAGATCCTTCACTTAAGTAAAAGTAGTAATATTACAATTAAAATTATTAAATTAAATTATTAAAATAT